GCCGCCTGACCGCCTCAGAGACCAGGTGACCACACAGGACGGTCTGAAATTAAAACTTTCTGAGCCTGGCCAGCGTGGTTCACTGGTTAGCGTGTCGGACGGTCCACGGAAGTGTCGGTCACTCCCCATCCATCTGATCCCCTGTGGGAGACAACCAGTCGATGAGCCTTTCTCTCGTACCCATCACTCTATATCCTGTTTGGAGACTTCAGGAAAAACATATCCTCGAAGGAGGATTAACAAAATAGAACAACTTTCTGCCCGGCCGGTGGGGCTCAGCGGTGAGGCATCGACCTAGGAACCAGGAGGTCACAATTCGCTCTCCTGTCGGGCCAGGTGCCTGGGTTGTGCGCTGGATCCCGGTGTGGGGCGCGCAGCAGGCAGCCAATCAGTGGTTCTCTCCCATCACTGAAGTTTCTCTCTCCCTCTCCCTTCCTCTCTGAAATCAATAAAGACATATTTTTAAAAAGAAAAGGACGCGTCCATTTGCAGCAACAAGTGCGTAAGCGGCCTGGGCCGCACCTGCAGACGGGCCGGCCGACGTGCGCGGGATCGTCATAAACGGAGGAAAGGAGTCGGGTGGAGGGGCGGCTGCCTGTGGCCCGCAGGGCAGGGTCCAGATTGGAAAGATGTCAGCGAGAGGAGCCCAACCACCCAGGCCGTCGCAATCATGCTTTTCTGTGTGTGTGTGAGTGTGTGTGTGTGTGTGAGTGTGTGAGTGTGTGTGTGTGTGTGAGTATGTGAGTGTGTGTATGTGAGTGTGTGCAAGTGTGAGTGTATGTGAATGTGTGTGAGTGTGTGTGAGTGTGTGTGTGAGTGTATGTGAGTGTGAGTGTGTATATGTGTGTGTGTGTGTGTGTGTAATTTGGCGAATGTGTTAAAATACATGTGAGTTGTATTATTTATTTTAAAAATACCTGTGACAGGATAGAGGGCCAAGAATGAGAAGAGCAGGGAGGCCCTCCCAGGCCCAGGGTCTCCCACAGCCCGCAGCTGGGACAGGTCTGGAAGGAGCCACAGGCAGCCCCGCCCAGGGCCCGCCCAGGACCCGCTTGCCCGGGAGTGGCGCAGAGGGCAGGCTGCGTCCACACGGGTGCCAGGCCAGCTGGGTGTTCTGGGAGAAATACCATCCGCCCGGCCGGCGCGGCTCCGTGGCTGAGCGTCCATCTATGAACCTGCAGGCCACGGCTTGATTCCCGGTCAGGGCACAGGCCCGGGCTGCGGCTCCATCCCCAGTGGGGGGCGTGCAGGAGGCGGCCGATCCATGATTCTCTCTCATCATTGGTCTTTCTCTCTCCCTCTCTGAAACCAATAAAAGTATACTTTTTCTACTTCACACTGTACAGAAAACCCCAGGTGGATCACAGCTGGAAATGGTAAAAAGCCTTTAACTTTGAGAAGAATTTACTGGAAAAGGCACCGTACACGCGGGTGAGGAAGGAAGCCTAAAGGAGACGTGAGCGGAAGATGGAGGGAAATTCAGGTCCGTGACTAAAGCGACCGAGTATGGAAACACACATGGACGTCGCCGCCACTGCGACCGACGGGAGGCTGTCCTGCGGGGAAGTGGCCAACGTGTCCGCTGTTCCCGGCATCGTACCCAGGACCCTCACCTACATGCACACGCATGCGCACACACACACACACACACACTCACACGCGCACACATGCACACGCACCCCTTCCCGTGTTGCTGCTTCTGAGTCGTCTGCTTTTCACCACGTTTTTGAAATTTCTGTACAAACCTCTTGTCATTTGAGATGGTTCTCAGTGTCTCCTATGGGACTCGGTCCGTGGCACCTTCTGGGAAGGGAAACCTTGAGCTCAGGGAACCCAACCTGTGTCACCTGCTGAGCTGTGGGCCGCGTGGGCCTTAGGCGCCTCCCACGGCCGAGCCCCGCACGGGCGGCTCCGTTTCGCATGAGCCCCTGGGCTGCTTGCTGTCCGGTTCTGTGTTTCCTCTATGGCAGCGGTTCTCAACCTGTGGGTCGCGACCCCTTTGGGGGTCAAATGACCCTTTCACAGGGGTCGCCTAAGACCATCGGAAAACACATATATAATTACATATTGTTTTTGTGATTAATCACGATGCTTTAATTATGTTCAATTTGTAACAAGGAAAATACATCTGCATATCCGATATTTACATTACGATTCATAACAGCAGCAACATGACAGTTATGAAGTAGCAACGAAAATAATGTTATGGTTGGGGGTCACCACAACATGGGGAACTGTATTAAAGGGTCGCGGCATTAGGAAGGTTGAGAATCGCTGCTCTATGGCCTCTAGGGAATGTCCAGGCGGAGACCCCAGATCCCGCCCTGGACGGGGCAGCCCTCGATTCAAAGCCTTCGTTATGGGGGTCATTTCCGGAGCTGTTTTGTGAAGCCTGCAAGTTCAGGTCCGCCCTGGCCAGCGTGGCCCAGCGAGTAGCGCTTCGGCCCAGGCACCGAGGGGTCCCGGGCTGATTTCTGGTCCTGGCAGGTGGCTGGGTTGCAGCTTTAATCAGCCGGGGATGTTTGGGTTAGGGGTTCTCTCTCTCCCCTTCTCTCTTCTCCCCCACTCTCTCTAAGCATCAATAGAAAAATACCTTCAGGTGACAGTTAACAACAAAGGCAAAGTCTTAATTGTGGTTTATGCACAGGAACCTCCAGGCCCTGGGACACAAAGCAGAATCGGTTACCATGGTGACCCAAACCGCAGTTCAAATCAGGGCCTGGAAAGGGGATTCACAGTGAGAAGGTCCAGAGCACGTGGCCCTGCACAGAGAGGGCGAGTGACTTCCTTGAGGACACACAGCAGTAAAAGGGCAGAGTGAAAAGGGAACCCTGGGCTGCCCAGAGCCTGGGTCTCCTTCACCTGCGACCTCTGGGTAAGCGGCCCATCACCCTGTGGCCGTTTGCTCTGATGGGCCTCCCCCTCCCCACTTCTGGGGCTTAGATGACCAAGTACCGTTATTTTCCTGGGTCTGGCGTCCGCCGCCGCCTCCCGGGCAGAGTTTCTTTTACCTGGAAGAGAAATGGATCCCGGTCTGCAAACCGGCATTCGCTCTGAGACGCGGCTCTGCCCCGGTGCCGCCGGGTCCATGTCCCTGAGGCCACCCCACCTCCGTGGCAGCATCTCATGCCCTGGAGCCCCCATGAAGCACACGGCACCCCCAGTGCTCCCCTGAAACTCCAGGGACCCCGTAGACACAGGGGTACAGACACCGGGTGGGCACTCCATCCCCGGAAAAGCCTCCAGCACCGAGTCTGTGCTGCCATCCGGCTCCCGGAGTGCTCGGCCTGCGTAGTGCGGCCACCGGAGGGCAGGCGGCACAGGCCTCCCAGGGCAGCGGG